CGCTTCTGTGATTATAAACCAAAACAAATGTTCTTTAGTTTTTTTTTTCTTTACAAGTGCAATACAGTTTCAATTTTGTTTTATGTAACACCACATTATGGCCGTTTGCCCTTAGAAATATCTGTAAACATTCGCTTCTGTGATTATAAACCAAAACAAATGTTCTTTAGTTTTTTTTTTCTTTACAAGTGCAATACAGTTTCAATTTTGTTTTATGTAACACCACATTATGGCCGTTTGCCCTTAGAAATATCTGTAAACATTCGCTTCTGTGATTATAAACCAAAACAAATGTTCTTTAGTTTTTTTTTTCTTTACAAGTGCAATACAGTTTCAATTTTGTTTTATGTAACACCACATTATGGCCGTTTGCCCTTAGAAATATCTGTAAACATTCGCTTCTGTGATTATAAACCAAAACAAATGTTCTTTAGTTTTTTTTTTCTTTACAAGTGCAATACAGTTTCAATTTTGTTTTATGTAACACCACATTATGGCCGTTTGCCCTTAGAAATATCTGTAAACATTCGCTTCTGTGATTATAAACCAAAACAAATGTTCTTTAGTTTTTTTTTTCTTTACAAGTGCAATACAGTTTCAATTTTGTTTTATGTAACACCACATTATGGCCGTTTGCCCTTAGAAATATCTGTAAACATTCGCTTCTGTGATTATAAACCAAAACAAATGTTCTTTAGTTTTTTTTTTCTTTACAAGTGCAATACAGTTTCAATTTTGTTTTATGTAACACCACATTATGGCCGTTTGCCCTTAGAAATATCTGTAAACATTCGCTTCTGTGATTATAAACCAAAACAAATGTTCTTTAGTTTTTTTTTTCTTTACAAGTGCAATACAGTTTCAATTTTGTTTTATGTAACACCACATTATGGCCGTTTGCCCTTAGAAATATCTGTAAACATTCGCTTCTGTGATTATAAACCAAAACAAATGTTCTTTAGTTTTTTTTTTCTTTACAAGTGCAATACAGTTTCAATTTTGTTTTATGTAACACCACATTATGGCCGTTTGCCCTTAGAAATATCTGTAAACATTCGCTTCTGTGATTATAAACCAAAACAAATGTTCTTTAGTTTTTTTTTTCTTTACAAGTGCAATACAGTTTCAATTTTGTTTTATGTAACACCACATTATGGCCACGAGATGGAGCTGAGGAGCACAGGAAATAAGTATGTATTATACCACATTTTGGCCACTAGATGGAGCTAAAGCATAAGAAATAAATATTGATTTCCATCTGGTGGCCGTAATGGGAAAGCAAAAAAATTAATTTCTTAGTAAAGAAACATCTTTAGAACATTTGTTACGTCATATATCTGCACAGAGCAAATGTTTACAGATATTTACAGGTCAAAGGGCTCTGAAGATATTTTAAAAATAGACTCCTTAGTGTGTTTTCTGGTTTGTATGAATGCAAACTGAAGAGAGGGTAGCTTTCAGAAATATTGATGTGTGTCTAAAAACTTATGTGAATGAGAAATTACCAAATTTAACTTTTAAAGTTAAAGTTTTTAATTTACATTTGCCTAATGAAATTGTATTTTAGCCCTCATTCACACGAGAAAAGGCCGGCACGTACAGCTCTGTGTTGCGTGCACGGCGGTATCGGGCAGCTCCCGGGAAGCACAGGTGCTATGTGTGATTAGTACGCAGCCCCCGTCCTTCTCTATGGGAGTACACGGCCATAGGCCGCCCTATGCTCACCCCAAGTGCAGGTACGTACGGGTGCGTGTTTCCAGGCTTGGACGCAGATAGGATCCGTCCTGTCAGCGTACGACTATGCTCACCCGCACACGTACGGACGTGCAGGGCGGGTGAGCATAGGGCGGCGTACGGCCATGTACTCCCATAGAGAAGGACGGGGGCTGCGTACTAATCACACATAGCACCTGTGCTTCCCGGGAGCGGCCTGATACGGCCCGGAACGCAGCATGGAGCTGTACGTGCCGGCTATTTCTCGTGTGAATGAGGACTAACACTCGTTAGTATCATCTTCTTCTTGTTTGGCACCTTGGGAGTCCCATTTCTATGGATAGTCTCTTAAAACAGTTTAAACGAGCCAATTTTTTTTTCCATGCATGTGTCACAATTTAATCTCAAAAGGGGAAAAAGAGCTCTCCGAAATTAAAATGCATACGCTCACATTGAGCTTTACTTTTTTTTTTTTTAAGGTTCGTGATGCGTGCATCGCAGACAAACTTCACCCCTGAACCGTGAAATCACAGCACCTGAAAAAAAAAACTGCTTTGGTCCTCCTCCAAAGGGGAAAGGGCCTCTAAATACCCTGAACCTCCTCATGGCCAGCGGCGTATTTACATTTCCTGCTGCCCTAGGCAAGACAGCAGCGCCGCCCCTCCTTCTCCCCGTCGGACTGACATTCCGCCGAGTGGCCGTCAGCAGGGCAAGGGGGCTTATTTGCATCGGGGTACCCCTTTAAATAAGGGGGCACCCAGATGCTGCCCTCCCCCCTTGTGAATGAGTAAGGGGTACTTGTACCCCTACCCATTCACTAAAGGGTTAAATCAAATAGTTAGTAAAAAGTCCAGACTTTTAGATAAAATCCTTTAATCAAAAAAAAAACCAAAGAGACAATTTTTGACAATTCTTTTAATTTAAAAAAAAATTAAAAAAATGGCTCCATCAATGTAATCCGGCGTCAATCACCATGCCTGACCCCCTCTGAAATAAAAAAAAGTCCCGCCGCACGACGACCATCTTACCCCGACGAAAACTCGCCGCAAAATGACATTCAGCCCGAATGTCAACAGATGGGCG